GGGGGGGGGGAGGATGAAGGGAAAGGAATGACAAAAGATATCGTCCCTGTAACACAGATGAATCTACAAGCATGAGTCTCATGGAGCAACAGCTCATTTATGCAAAGATAAAATTATGGTAAGGATCTACATTATATCTTTCCCCTTTCTGCCCATCTATTGTTCTACAATTCATTATGACTGAGAAAATAAACAGTAGTAAAATAAAACTCAAGAAAATGGAGCCAAGGGTTAAAAATACTACCTCTCAGTTGAATACTATTTTCCACACATAAAAAGTGAAATTTGAGCATTTTAATGAAGGAAAACCAAAGGAAGAGCAACAGAACGCTTCATTCAAGGAGGAAAAAAAATGAAGTAAGGGCAGCACATCTACTTCACAGTGCTTCATCAAGGAAGACAAAAAAAGGCCACGCAGCCAGACAGCATATTTCCTTGGATAGATACCTGCTTCCTTAAATCTCATCTGCTAAAGTGGCTACAAAACTCAATCTTTTATGGACCTTTGAAAAACAATAAACAAAAAAATAAAATCCTGAGTTTACACATATGTAAAACATGGTAGATACAGACAGCGCTTCTCACCTACAGAATCCTAAAAACATGTCAGTTTTGTGTAAAAAAATAAAAAATAAAAAAATAAAAATACTAACCAATGAAAATGTAATTGTGTACATATTTCTTCTTACAGTTAGGGATCTATCCAACTTGACAAGGCAGACAGCTGATTGTGTGGGGAGATAGTGAGGCTTGCCACCATTTTCAAGGGCTGATCGCAGTGGGACCCCACTACGTCTCTAACTGACTGAGGGACCCTGGTGCCGCCTCTGCCCCTTGCTGCTGACTGGCTGTGAGGGCTGTCCATTATACAGCCCCACCCCTTGACACGGACTGGAAGGGAGGGCTATCCATTATACAACCCTGCCTTTCACAACCAATTGGTGGAGAAGGGCAGGGCTGCACAATAGGCAGTCCTCTCACCCAATCAGCGGCGAGGGCCAGAGGTGGCAGCCATCTTGGGTTCTCCCTGCCGGAATTCTCCCTCCTCTTGTCCTCCCTGCGGGCTGCGCAGCAGTGTCGCAGCACCATGAGGACTGCTGGCTCCCTCTGAGGAGCCAACATTTTATTTTCAATACATTCTGGAAGGGGTGGGGGAGGAGGCTGTAGATTTCATAAGCTTTGCCAAACTTCTCAATTTCCATGCAATGCGTGAAAAAAAAAAAAAAAAAAAAAAAAAAAAAAAAATCAGGATTTGAGTAGATCCCTATTTATAGTGAAAAGGATTACTACACAAAGAAAAGAACTGTCTCACTTTAAAAGTTGAGCAAGAGACAATAAGAGGAACAAGCACACTTGCAAGACTCTTCAGCTTTCAGCAGCAAGTCCACAAGTTTATGGGTATCTATGTTCTCCAGGCCATGAATCTTGGGTTCTGGACGGGTTGGCTGCTGAGCAAACCCTTAAGAAGAAGGCCCCACTAGACCAAGTGTCCATAGATATTCAAACCAAGAAGAATACGAAAAATCATGGGTGATTAAGAGATTAGTTTTGTCAGGTACTGAGAATGCATTTACTTAGATCTACATCCAATTTATAGCTGCATAGCTAGTCAATTCCCTTTATCTAAATGCAAATGACCTTGGATACCACAACTCCTTGCTGTAATAGCAAAAAAGCATGTTCTTAGCTTCGTTTCAGTATTGTTTCAGTTTTGGTGCCTCACTCTGGTCAAAGTAAAATGCTAAGATGTTAGCTGTGGCCCTCCTCTCATAATCCGTATGAGTAGCAAATGAATCCAGGAGAGAAATACAAGAGACAAATGCCACAACTGCTTTAACTCCAGTGGAGATGACAAGATTTCTGGAATGAACTTTTTCCAATAAAAAGAACCTGTCCATCTGATAAATTTGGAGGTACAGAAGATAATCTGCTTTCTAATTCTGGGAACTGGATTGATTGATGGAAAAAAAAAAAATGTATGAGGAGCACCAGTATCAGGAAACAGTTTCCATCAGGTCATTCCAAAACGCCAGAGACATTAGAATAGTGGTTTTCAACCTTTTTAGACTTGGTGTCCCTAAGAAAATGCCAGCTCTTAGTTTTCGGTTGTTTTTTGAACTAAAGAAAAAAAAATAAAGGAGCATT